ATGAAGCTAATCGCGTTTAATTCTGATTATTTATGAATTTTTAAGCCTTCGAGTGCAGATTTTGACTTCACAAGAAAACTGTAGTCTACCTGTATTTCTGTAATTAATTTCGCGAGAATCAGCCAAAGTGGGAAAGTGCCTTCGCGGCTTTTAGTAGAGCACAGTTTTATCTGTGTCTCATTGTGAGTATTTGCGATTATTTTTATCGTTCGAGACCTAAAGACAACTACAAAGGACCTAAAGGTTTATCATTTGTTGCTTGAGAACCAGTCGAGCTAGAAGGATGACTGATGTTGTGGCTTTTAATAGGGCGTACTTTCAACCATTAATACGTTAAAGCTCAGTTTAATCATTAGTTATTTTTCTGGTTTTTGCTGCTTCTTTAACTTCTCCTAGCGCTTGGCAGCACGGAATCTTGCAATGTATTTGGTTCCAGATCAACACTAGCCAATCGATTCAAACAGTACCAGCCAGCATGGAAACAACGGAGTCACAGACTTCCACTGGCGGCCCATCAGTGGCGGTTTCCATTCAGACGAACGATGAGGGCACCAGACCGCCCCCACACGGCGGTCCGGATCAGCCCTAAGCTTAGGTACCAAAAGTTCTACGCCGTCTGGATGCCGGCATTGAAAAGGGGAGAGGGTTTTATGGAAAAATTGGAAAGCAAGTTTACGTTTAGGGTGGAATCAGTGATTTTTTGGTGGTGCCACTTGCCAGTGTGTCCATGAGCGGTACTGTATAATTTTTTCTTTAGTGTAAATAGCTGCAGTTTGTTCTGTTTTTCTTTGAGATATTGACTTAAGCGTGTATATACACTTAGATTGTATTCGCTTTGTGCAGTTTTGGCCAATATAGCATTTTCCAGTCACTGGTTTCCAAACCGCTTCTCTCGGATGGCTCTGTTTATTTCCACAAGATGTTGATCGACTTTATGGGGCTTTTTGTTATAAATATACATGTATAATATGTACGATTGATTAATTAATAATAAAGGGATACACAGTATAAAGTGCAAGCACTACGCTTTTTTCTGATTCAGATTGAATTCGGGTTAGAACGTTACGTTAGAATCGGTCGAACTTGCAAGTCGTCACATTTAAGGAAGAAATGCTGTTCAGGTATTGAAAGGTACAGAAAAACGCTACTTAACGAGGTTTTTATCATGAAACCGAAAAGGTGGGATTTTCACTGTCACTTTGATGATTGAATGAAATCTGCTGGGTGATTGGTGTTTCTCAGTTAACAAGTGCTCATGTCAACAATTTTCCCTTTAGATTCGCCAGCAATGTGTCAAATCAGGTGAGTTTGGAGGCCGAACGACATTAACATCAGTGTGGGTAAGTAACATTCATGTAGTTTTTGTGGAACTTTTAAAGATCGACATTCGTTCGTTGTCGCATTATCAATCAGCAACTGGTGCGGGCTTAATGGACCCTTTTATGTGCTCTTAATTTTTCGCGCAATGTTTAAGCCCAAGGTAAAGATATTTCCGGCACTTGAGTGGCGCTTCCGATTTCAGGGATCAATTACATGATCCAGTTGTTTGTTCTGCCATTTACTTGATGAAATCCATGGCAATGGACAGGCGGAAGGAAAGGAGCAGCCTCTAATGCTTTCTGTGCTGGTGCTCTTGTTGCCCGTCTGCCATTCGCCGAAAACGGGAAACATTTATTTTTAAAATCAATAGGAGCGCGCCCTATTTGTTTTTCATTCGATATTGTTTGTTGTTTTTGCGCGAATTGCCAACAACAAAAACGCAATTTCTTCGAAACAACCGATTTCTAATTAATTATTTATTTTCCATTTCTTGCGCCGCTCGCAGCCCATTGCAGTAATGAGATTTTGCCGGTGTAGATTCCGGTGTTCCGCTTGCATTAGAAGAATAAGATTCGAAAAGGCCTGCAGGCCAACTGGTTTCAGTTCAATGTATTGGCACTCCAGTTGCATCTCGATGATATGTTTACTGCAATCGATCACTTGCTTTCAATGTTTTGCTTCGGTTTTGGTTTCCGGTTGCATGGGTTGCAGCAAATGTGTTTTTACCTTTGTTTTAGAATCTGGTTGATTGATGCCCTATTTGAATGTGTTTGGGCAAGTGGTTGATTTAATGCTATTTTACAATCAGAAAATGCCCAACTTTTATCGTTACCAGTGCAAGCTTTAATGTATTTTGAATGGAAAATTGGACTTATTTCAATAATTATTTTTTGAACCAGGATGTCGTAATTACGAGTGCTTAATAGAACTCATCTTTCTCTATCGAATTCGGAAAGTTCTGCGTAATCGCAACTTTTCTTGGTTTTTTCAGATTTTTTTTTTTTAAGTTTAGTGCAACTATGAGTGAGAACGCCCGCTAGAACTGCTCCAAGTAGAAAAGAGCTGGAAACTGCATTTAATAGAACGCGCTTTTCTCTATCAGTTTATTAGAGCTCGGCTTGATCTCATTTTTTTTCTGGTTTTTGCAAAATTTTTCAATATTCGAGGGAAACAGAGACTGCGAGCGCCAATTCCGGGCAGACCGAAAGTAAATAATTTATTTCTCCCTCGATTTCTGAGAGTTGTGCGTAATCGCTCTTTTTTTGGTGTTTTGGGAATTTTTTCGTTAATCGAGTGCAACTGTGACTGAGAGCGCCAACTCCTGATAGACTGACTGTAAATTATTTATTTGTTTAGAACTGCTTTTAGTAGAAAAATGCTTGTAGCCGCATTTAATAGAGCGCACTTTTCTTAAACTATTTCTGAATTTTGCGTAATTGTGTTTCTGATTTTTTGGCAATTTTTTCGATATTCGATAGCAAATGAAACTGCGATAATAAACAAAATGGACAAACAACCCTCACAACTGGACCATACTGAATCCCCTTTGCCTAACAAGACGGACAAAACATTCCCGTTTTCGTACCCCAACAGATACTTTACTAGAACACCTACAAACGCAACTGAACTAAGGACTAAGATCTGTTTGTTTTGTAAGCCAGGAATTTTTATTTTTTTTTATTTTCTTTGTATAGCTGATTAATTTATACGAGTGTTAGGAATAGGAATTAATTTTAGAATAAGCTAGGCTAAGGCACATATATA